CTCCACGATCTCAACGGGACCAATCTTGCGGGCTGACAGCTTATTATACTCATGCGCCGAGAAACGATCCTTCGTCAAAACTGCCCAGACGAAATCTCTCACGTCGAACTCAACATGCCGGCGCCGCGTGTCAGCGTGCTTCTTGTATCCCGCGGTCACCGTCTCCAACCGGGCTCGGTCGGACTCGTGAGTCCGGCGTAAATCCGCCATGAGCTCCTCCGCACGGGGGTCAGCTGCCGAGGCCGACGGCAAAGCGAGCAAATCCGCGACCCCACGAGGACGGACCGCGTACACCACCTCAAACGGTGAAAAACCCGTCGCACGACTACGAGCCAAGTTATGAGCGAACTCAGCCTGTGGAAGACGTTGATCCCAACTCTTCAGATTATCGCCAACCAAACAACGTAATAAATTGCCAAGCGAGCGATTGACAACCTCCGTCTGACCGTCCGTCTGAGGATGATAAGCGCTACTGAAATCTAACCGCGTGTTGGCCAGACGCCATAAGCTACGCCAAAAATGACTGAGAAGGCGCGTATGGCGGTCAGAAACAATAGACGAAGGTAGGCCATGCAGGCGATAAACCTCACGAAAAAATAAGGCAGCCACATGAACGGCATCCGCGGTCCTCTTGCATGGAATAAAATGGACCATCTTGGAAAAACGGTCAACGACCACAAAGATAGAATCATTACCTCGCTGAGTACGAGGCAAACCCAAGACGAAGTCCATACTAATGGCTGTCCACGGACGTGAAGGAATTGGTAGGGGCCTGTAAAGCCAAGCATTAGACGCCACAGCCTTCGAAACCTGGCAAGTACGGCAACGCTCGATGAAACGAGACACATCACGGCGCAAAGAAGGCCAAAAAAAAGAACGACCCACCAGGTCAACGGACCGACACGACCCACGTGCCCGACACCATGAAGGTCCGCCACTACCTTCAAGCGCAAGCTAGAGTCCGGAATGCACAAACGCACGCCTCGGAATAAGAAACCATCAGACAGAGTA